GCATAATTATTATTTTTATAATTTATACTGCAATTTATTCCTAGTTTTAAAGAAATTAAGTAATATTAAATTAATTAATAATTAATTATTTTTCTAAACTCTATCGAATATATCTTACACTTTTTGAACTGTTCTTTGTTTAAATGATGATTTACTCTGCTCATGTCTAATTTTTAAACCCCAAAGAAAATAGGGGTGTTATAATTTTGACCGCTATGTGTGTGTTTGTCTGCCTGTGTGACTGTCTGTGGCACCGTAGCTCTTAAGGCTGAATCAACTTGGATTTAGATTTTTTATTAAAACGCAGGGTTTCTAGCGGTGGTTCTTAGACATGTTTTATCAATTTTGGTTCAACCGTTCATTAGATTACTAGATGATCAGCTTTTTTGTTTCAGGGGTTATTCAAATTTCAATTTAAGTTATTATCATCAAATTTCATTTTTACAAACAAAAATGACACTTGAAATCCTCTAATACTCAATGGAAATTTATAAATTAGTGAATTTTATTAAGTTATTCGAGATTGAAATATCATTATTACACAAAATTATATTACGTCGGTAAGTCATCAGCATAATATTAGATATGTAAAAGCGGGTTTTATGTGAATCATTACTAAAATTGCCAACCTAATTCATGAAAAGCAATTTAATTTGAATTTTGGCCGGCATCCAGATCTTCCACTCTTTAAGTATATTGTTATGGGGACTTTTAAATAGTTTAACAGTATTGAAGTAATTAATAATATTTAAAAGTTACCAAGAAAAACATATACCATTTTGGCTGCCAAGAGGAATTTCGTATTTAGACATAGACATAGACATAAGTTTTATTTGCATCAATACACTCACAAAATATACATTTAAAAGTAAATAGAAACATAAAAAACACACAAGGTACAAGATGGTAAACATAATAAAAATAAGTCTCGGCAAGAGTGAGTGATGTGATGCCAAAAAGGATTCCGACTCAGCATATGCTACCACACGTACTGCAGCAGCGCTTATTTTCAGCGGAGCCCTGAATAGTATTTATTCGATATTGCGCCCGCGCTGTTATCGGTGCTAATATTCCATTAAAAAATAAGTAAATCAACTATTCACTCAAAGTGTACATTTTTAAGAATAACCATAATTGTTAAAAAAATACATATACATACACGTGCATATACACACTCGCACACAAAAATATATTACATTTTAGATTGTACTATATTCATATTAATTATTCGTATATATTTTTAAATAGTACTTATGAAATAATCTGCCACTACACGTGAAATCATGATTTTTGAAATGCTAAAAGGTATTTTTTTAGTTGAGCTTTAAAACCGTTTACAGATTTAGATTCCCGTAACGGTGGTGGTAAATTATTCCAACATTTAGTGGCCATGGATCTAAAACTACCACGAAACGCGGCTGTTCGGTGAAATGGGATTGCCATAATTGGTGTACCCGTTCTGATGCTTCGACAATCATCTGCTCCTCTCCATTTTAATTTTTGAAAGAGGTATTCCGGTCTTTCCGATTTTATGCATCCGAACAGAAGCGTGGCTAGATGTAAATCTCTCCTCAATGACATCCTTAATATGTCCGACTTATTAAGATATGGATGTACGTGATGATATCGAGGAATATTAAAGATGTACCTTGCACATGCGTTTTGCACCCTTTTGTATTGACATATTTGTTTTAGCAAATAGTCTAGGACCATACACAGTATCTGCGTACCCGAATTTTGAAAGTACGAGTGACTCACATAGGCGCAAGCGGATGTCTTTACTGAGATAACCATGCACTTGGTAGAGTACTTTGAGTCTATAAAAATAGTTGCGTGTGATCTCAAGTACATGATTCTCAAAGCGAAGACCCTGGTCCATCAGCAATCCTAGATTACGAGTCTCACTTACACGTTCCACCGGTTCTCCACGTATGCTTATAATAAATTTCTTTTTCATTATACGATCAACCTGTCCTTTTGACCCTAACAACATGAATTTTGATTTACATGGGTTGAGCACAAGTGTATTCGCTTCTGACCATAATGAGATGCGATGAAAATCCTCATTTATTTTTGCTACTGCACTTTCTTCTTCGCTAGAAAAAAATGGGAGATAAATCTGTATATCATCGGCGTATAGGTGGAACTTGCTGTGCTTTATATGGTGACATACGTCTGCTGTGTATAGAATAAAAATAAGTGGACCAAGTATAGATCCTTGAGGTACTCCCCTGGTTACAGGGCATGGAGACGAGCACAGCTGAGCGCCATCGTTTTTGTTAATAGTTACTATCTGTGTCCGATTGGATAAATAGCTGTCGAACCATCGAACAGCAGGCAATTCAAAACCATAGTAACTCATTTTGGATAACAATAATGGAATATTTAGGGCATCAAATGCTCGGGAAAAATCAAGCAAGACCAGTGTCGTGCCCTGTCCATTATCTTGTGATGTCAAGATATTGTCAACCACATCCATTAAGGCTTTTGATGTACTTCGTGCCTTTCTGAATCCGGATTGAAAAACGGGTAAAATATTATTACACTCTAAAAAAGTTGAAAGCTGCATACATACGATTTTCTCGAGAACCTTTGATAAACAAGGTAGAATACTAATTGGCCTTAAGTCTTTTATATCTGACACATTATTTTTTTTGGGTAGAGGCCTAACTATGGCTGTCTTCCAGACGTCGGGAAAAGTAAATGTGCGAAGTGAAGCATTTATAATGGCTGTTATAACTTTGAGTGTACGTGGAAGCGTCAGTAGCAACATTTCAAGAGATATTCCTTCACTGCCTAACGCATTTGATTTAAGTGATCGTATGACTTTTGAAACTGGGGTTTCATCAGTGGGCTTTAACTCAAAATACACGTTTCCAAAACGATGAAATTCGTAATAAGTAAGACTCGATATCGGTGTTACACTTTTACCGGGTACCGTACAAAAATGAGAGTTCAGTCAGTCTGGGTTTTGTAAGTGCTCAGGGATTTCAGTAATACGGTGTTTGCTGGCTAGATTAGAATAACGCTTCAGGTTTTTCCAGAGAACTTTAGAATTATTCAGGTTACGGTTTATATACTGATTAAAATACGCACGCTTTTCATTTTGTAATGCTGTAATTACATGACTCTTCAGCTCCTTGTAATAAACTCTATGCCTGGTCAGTCCAGACGAACGATAACGCTTATAAGCTTCATTACGTAATTTCATCATCTGACGGATAGTATATGTAATCCAGGGATATGTATTTTCTTTAATACGAGTACTTTTGATGGGTGCGTGACAATCAAAAACGAAAGTTATGGCGTTGTTAAACTGAAGCACCATCTCGTTTACATCTACTAGGTTTGAAATCGCTTCCCAGTCAATAGAGTCAATGTCATTATCAAAAACATTTATATCGATGTCTTTTAGTGAGCGATATGTGATTTTACGGGGATTTTAATTTTGATTTTGTTATTTGAAGTTCTGCTTCTATGAAGGCGTGATTACTTACACTCGGTATAAAATCCACTTTTACCTTTGTGACTACAACATCACTACAAATTATATCAAGTAATGTTGAGCTATGCTCAGTGAAATGTGTAGGCTGTGTTACGTACGTTTTATGAAATCATTAAATTTCTCTGAGTTACGATCACAGTTTAATAAATTAATGTTGAAATCACCTAATATTATTATATAGTCAAAAAAGGAAAAAGAAGATATAGTATCGGTTAAAGCATCAAAAAACGAGTCAACATCTAGCCACTGCGGACGATATGCCGTGCCTATGATGAGTTTTGTCCCATTTATGTTTAAACTAAGCCACATTTGCTCGACTAGGGATGCAGTAGGGTGTGTGCATACCCGGGCGGTCATTGTGCGACGTACGTAAAAGCCTACCCCTCCACCGCGTGCTCGAATTGTCTCAGATCGCGGAATATGACGTAGACGGTAATTGGGAACTATAGGTGCACGGCCATCCTCACCTTCTCGAAGCCAAGTCTCATTTATGGCCATGATATCTACGTCATGTTCTTGCATTGCAACTATAAATTCATCGTGCCTTGTTCCTAGGGAGCATGGGTTAAGAAATCCAAACTTAACTTTATTTATTTTCGCGCCCTTGCTAAGAAAAGCTACAAATAACAGCAATGTTATATACAAGGCGTTATAAAACAAGTTATATGAGCAACAGTAACGACTATGTAATCCGGGATTATTCATAATTAAATTGTCTAGCACAAATATAACGAAAATCAAGCAAAGCAATACGATATACAAATATATATATACAGAAACATACGTTATAATTATATATAACAAATAACAAATATTTATTAAGTTAATACTAATAAACGCAACACCTTCTTCATGAACAAATATTTGAGATATTGGCACCACATCACTCGTGATGATCCCTGCGACAAATAATAAGATAATAAGCATGAGAATATGTTGCGGCAATAAACAATTAGGCGCAGAAAAATAATCGATGTATAGCACACAACACCGATACACTTCGTTATAGATTGTTCGGAAAACATAAAAGCCATAAAAGCACACTAAGCACATTAAATATTTTATGAAAAAAACTATTTTTCTACATATTATTATAAGCCAACAGCATTTTCGCCAAAAACCTGTTTGATGTCAAGGTCGCATCGTATACGACGTGCTTCAGTATCGTTTCGACGTCTAAAGTAAATACGACCATCACGCGTCCATACATATTTCCAGCCATGCTTTGAGGCCTCTTGGCGGACCTTATAAAAAAGCTGTCGGTTTGTACGCGTCAGACGTTCATTGACATAAAATTTTCTTGGCGGGTCAGGCTGATTGAAGCCGTTACTATCAACGCCTCGACGCACCCTTGCACTCCGCACTAGTTGATCACGCAATGAACGCCGCATCAATCGCATCACTAACGGCCGCGGTTTAGGTACACCTTCTCCCTCAACACAACTGCGTGGCGGTCCCATACGCTCCGCACTAACAATATCCTCCTCAGACAACTTCACAGCCAGTTTTTCGAAGTTTCAATAAGAATAGCGAGGTGTGTCGGATTTTCGCCTTTAACTTCTGGGAGGCAGGAAATTTCTACATCCATAAGAAGTTGTTCTTGGTCACGGTTATTTAGCTCCATTTTAAGACATTCCATCATTTCACTAATTTCATTACTACCATTTGAAGGTGGCTCACAATTTTTTTGTTGCTCAAGTGCATCTAATCTGTGTTCCATACAGTCGACTCGCTTGCATAAATCGCCTACCGCCGTATAAACTTTATCAAATTTTGCGCTAAAGTTATTAATTTCTTGGCGCATTGATATTATTTCGGATTTAAGTTCCTGCATAATTTGTGACCATTTGTCATCAGAGTCACAATACTCTAATGGTGAAGACGCTGAAGATTCGCTTTTATTAAGATCTGTTAGCACCTTAATTGGCGTATCCGAATTGTCTTTACGCGGCTGTTTACTTATACAATCCGGACACATCCATTTTTGCGGCATCTTAAAGCTCTTAGGCATTTTAAGACATAATCGATCATAAATACTGCTACACCCAGTACATTTAATACCTTCCGCAGAACTGACAAATCGCCCACATGCAGCACACTTCGACATTCTAACGTGTGTAGAAGTACAGAAGCCCCAATTCTATACACAGCGATGAGAAGTAAATAAATAATATGGATGACATTACCCGGTAAGCAGTTAGCGAAGCGTAGTTTTGTGACTTACGTCACTAGCTGGGTGGCTCAATTGGCGCGACGCAGTTCGTGGAACAAACTGCGTACGAGGTTCAAAACTCAGAAGACTCCGCAAACAGGATGCTTACTTTCGGAACAGGAACCACAGAATACAATATGTTGTTTCACTCTAGGTCCACCCACGAGGAGGAGCCGCTCCGTAAATAACACAAGACTGATAAGGAACTAAGTCCCCCAATCACAAATTTTTAAAAGCGAATTTCGGAATAAAATTTACATCAACCAAATACACGACTAAACTGAACGCAGGCGCAAAACCGAAGCCCGAAGTATTTGTTCTCTGAATGTCTTTTTTATAGGATATAGCTGCAGTATGACTCTAACGCATCTGAGGTCTTCTTTGTTAGGAGTAGAAGTTTGTTGTAGGCCGTCAAATTTCTACAGGTGCCACATACCATCGGCTGAACTAACTTCTGTGTTCTGAGCGCCATGCAAAATTTGCGTCTCTGTATCAATGGTATGAGAACTAGTATGATAACATACTGCGAGGTATTTCATCCTCCTTCTCTGGGGTGACAACGCGTCTCTAGAAATCTCATCTTTTCAACTCATTATCAACTCCAACCATTCTTTAGTTTCTTAGACAACGGTAGCTTATTATTTTTAACTAGTAGTTTGTTACTTTGAGGACTTGATAGCGCTGTGCCGAAGCGTTTGGTTGCGGCTCTGCAAGAGGACGGAACAAGCGTTTGCAAGGCCTTCAAATAATTGTTCCATGTCTGGATTATTTGCCATGTGCAATTTATGTAAGCAAATTGCCTCTATAATATAAGATAAAATCCTAGTACTAACGTTTTATCTTTAAACTGTTCGTTCTTTGACTTTGCGGAAATACGTTTTTTTTTAATTGGAAAAGAAGTACGATTTTATTTTATAATTTTGATCTTATTTAAGTAATTTTTACACATCCAAAGAAATTTTAGTCTTCTTAAAAAAATATTTGCTTAAAAGTTTTAAAGCTTTTCAAAAAACTGCTTGTCATTAATTCAAGCACGAGTTACTCGGGTTTGATTCTCGTCGGTACTAATGAAACTATTAACACAGTTAATAGAATCACGCGTTGCTTTGCGGATATCCATTATATTTACAATGTTAAAAATTATTTAGTCAACATCCGCGGAATAAAATATAATTCCGTTTCTTACCTATTTTGAAGAGCACCTTTCGCCCTCCCTAAATTGTGTGCACTATCCCCGTCACCATAATCCCAGCACCACTATTCTTAACACCACTGTACTAGTAAAGACACACGACCCTCGATAATACGATATGTTTTGCGTCTAGGCTCTAGACCGAAGTCTACTTCAGCTAAGGGTACTTCATCAATGAAACTGTTAATTGAAACTTTAGGTACTAACTTACGTATTCTGTATTAAAGGAAAACATTGTAAGGAACCTGTATATCTGAGGAGTAACAATATTTCGAAGACATATGAAGACCGTCAAAATGCAATGGAGGAGAGAAGTGCATATCAGCAATGAGAGGAGACCTATTTCCAGCAAGGGGACTTATAAAGAATGTAACTTTGTATGCAAGGTTGAGCCATTATGATTGTAGTACGAATGTGTCAGCTTGACCGGGGAAGCGAACCATATTCTCACGAAATAGCAGCCTAAAATAGCAGCTTAATTCTGCAACGATTCGCATAGTGAGCGTAGAGAACCGGAGACCCTTTTTACTGGAAACAAGGTATTCCATCTTAGGCATCAGATGGGACAACGAATCTGAATTTTGATGCTTAATTGAGGATAGATTTAGATGTCTGCGAGCCACAGCATCCACTTACCTTCAGGTGGACTGTAAGCTCATTTCTCACCCTGTGTTATATTTTCTTTTTTAAATATAAAAAAATGTTCGTTTAAAACTAATTTGAAATATTTTTAATTCCAGATGGCGGTCCATATCGTGAAGTTGTACATGATTGGGGCCAGCACTAATAGTATGTAATGTCTGTACCCTAAGATCCAGCCAAGTCCTGCCCGAAATAAAAATTCACTAAGAAAAATATACTTGTGAGTGTTTGGTGGACTAGCACCGGTCTCGTTCACTACAGCTTTCTAAAATCTGTCTAAACGATTAAGGAACGATTAAGGAGATTAAGAGTTCTATTGTCAGCAACTGCAAACCATGAAGGTAGAACTAGCTGCTAAACACCGAGATTGGTCAATCGCTCTAGGCCACTGCTGCTTCACGACAACGCAAGATCACACACTGCACAACAAACAACCACTAAGTCGATGAGCTACAATTGACCTTGCTCCAACAGATTACCATTTTTTTCCGGAATTTGGACAACTTCTTACAAGGAAAAAAATTCATCTCCGATGCGGCAGTTCAAACCGCCTTCAAAGAGTTTATTGATACCCATGAGATGGCAAAAGTGCATAGACAACAACGGTGCTACTTTGATTAATTAAATATATTTAAAAAAATTGACTTTATTTTCCTCACGTACAAAACGCCCTATCATTCATATTTCATATTTCTCACTCATTCTCATTCACATTCATATCATTACAGCCCTTCACAAGTCCATTGCTGAACATAGGTATACCTCAAAACACGAAAACTAAGTTGTACAACCAGTGCGTGTTGCCAGTGGTGACCTACGGAACCGAGACGTGGTCCTTCACTGCTGGCCGTATGAGGACGCTCAAAGTCGCTCAGAGAGCTATGGAGAGGGCTGTGCTCGGAGTTTCTCTGCGTGATAAACTTAGAAATGAGGATATCCACAGTACAACCAGAGTAACCGACATAGCCCAACGGATAGGTAAGCTGAAGTGGCAATGGGCCGGCCATATAGCTCGAAGAACCGACAACTGTTGGGGAAAAAAGGTTCTCGAGTGGCAGCCTCGTACCGGTAGGCGAAGTGTAGGGCGACCCCCCACTAGATGGAGTGACAACCTGGTATGACATGCAGGAAGTCGATGGATGCAGGTGGCTCAAGACCGTGCTTTGTGGCATATCTTGGGGGAGGCCTATTTCATATATAAGGACCTATTATTAGGTAAAAGTGATGCACGAGCGAACGAACAAACTTTTTGTTTGTTACGAGTATAATATCTATCCATCCATTTTCCATTATCCATACTAATATTATAAATGCGAAAGTAACTCTGTCTGTCTGTCTGTCTGTCTGTCTGCTCCTCTTTCACGCCTAAACGGCTGAACGGATTTTGATGAAATTTGGTATGGTGATAGATGATAACCTAGAAATGGTCATAGGCTATAAATAATCACGCCATCGTTCTTAGGGGGGTAGGCAGTAGGCAGATAACTAAATTGAGTTAGTGATTTTTAGTCGTTTTTGTTGGGACTTTTGCTCTTTCACGTATAAAAGGCTGAACAGATCTGTAAGGTAATAGATGGTTACCTAAAAACGGATATAAGATCAAAATGATCACGTCATAGTACTTAGGGGGTAGGAAGTAGGCAGAAAACTGAATTGAGTTAGTGATTTTTTTATGGTTTTTGGTGGGAATTTTGCTCTATCATGCCTAAACGGCTGAACGGATTTTGATGAAATTTAGTTAGGTGATAGATAGTAACCTAGAAAAGGATATGGGCTATTAATATTCATGCTATCGTACTTAAGGCGTAGGCAGTAGGCAGAAAACTAATTAAGTTAGTGATTTTTAATAGTTTGGTTTAAAAGTTTACCTCATTCACGCCTTAACGTCTGAACGGATTTTTATAAGACTTGGTTAATATAAAGATAGGATCCTAGGCACGGACACAGGCTACTTCTTACGGCGGGAAAATACCTCATTCCCGCGGAAATCTAGCGTGATCGTGTCAAGAAGCGAATGACGCCATAGCTACTGAAATGATTTTGATGTTTTTTTTTAAATGAGTGTTACTAAGACTTAAAGTTAGTATTTGATCACTTTTCTAACTTAGAGGGTCGGTAGGCGCCATAATTTAGGGAATTTATTATAAAATTTTGATGCATCTGTCTTTATTTAACAGTTTTACTTGGATCGAAACTTAGCGACATACCATCACACTACTTAACTTATAGGGTAGGAAGGTACCAAAATTCAGACTACTTTTTACTTCGGGAAAATATCTCATTCCCACAGGAACCTATACACAGCTACCTATCTACAACATTAAAACTCTGTCTAGAATCACATTACGCCATAGCTATTGATCTGATTTGTATACGATTTTTTATTCAACTGACTGTTAAATTACATACAGATAAAATCTAATTACCTACACCACAGAATTAATATAGTACTACATAACTAGCTACGCTTTAAACTTGAGGAGGTAATTAGATAGACATTTATACGAACTTTATGCTCAGTAATCAATCATAGTGATAAGTTAATACTCATTTTAGACAAAGAAACGGATAGGTAATCAGTTCATCACCGAAATTATAACACCTACACTTAGTTTGTTTACTATTCAACGAGGGAAAATAATTCAATATAACGCAAACCTTCAAATCATACGTCGTCGTAGTGAATACAAGACGCTGCGCCGAGCGAAGAGGCGGTGCGGCGCGAGGGGAGGGCCGTGCCCAACTGTGCCTAGTGCCTACCCAAGCGGGCAGACGCACGAGGGCAGACGTCGTCGTCGCACGTATGCGAATATTGAAATATTGCGTTACGAAACTCTATTCGTTGCGTATTTTTGGTTAGCTAAAAACGTTCTTTTTAAATTCAGAGTTGAAATAGGTACTACGGTCTACGCGTAGGGTCTGTAAGCTTTAATTTAGTCCTTTGTTTTAGATATCTAAATAAATA